GTTGACCAGGATGGTCTCAATCTCTTGACCTCGTGATCCACCCCCCTCGGCCTCCCAAAGTGCTGGGATTACAGGCTTGAGCCACCGTGCCCGGCACAGTTGAATCTTTTTAAAACGATATTTAAAGTGTTTAGTGGTTTAGTTGAGGTAGAAAATTAGGAGGGTCTGTGTTTATTGATATGTCCCTAGAAATAGCATGTCATGCTCCATAGGATTTTACAGTTGGTAAAGTTAGGCTACATATTACTTAGAGAGTAAGATCAATGATTTCTCTGTGCTGGAAGTAGAAATATTTTCCTTTTTTCCAGGCTGCTAAAACTCAACTTAGCAAGGTATTCTCTGCCATGTTGGCCATTCATTCCAACAAGCCAGGTATGGTGAAATCTTTGTCAATTTTTCTGCATTTTATTTAGACTCAAGCCATTTTGGATTTTATTTTGCTTGGTGAACCTAAGATAAATTGTTTTGAGGACTTGAGCTTAGGCAGTTGGCTTCAGTAGTTTTTCTTAACCGAGTAACTGCCTAGTAGTTCACCCCTGCCTACTATATACTAGTTACTGTCCTAGGTGTTGTATCTGCAGGCAAGAGGACTGTATTTCTTTTTAGATGATGATAAAATAAACTTTGGAATCCTTTGAGGGACATATTATTTGGAGGCAGTCAAATCTGAGGAATTTTGGAAGCTTAAAAGGGAAAATATCAATATAAATTTTGGAAGAATGCTGGTGCAGAGTAGATTCATGTTTTGTAAAAGAAAGACTTTTGTCTTGTGAATAATATATAAGTGGTATATTTTATAGTAGAGGGGCTTCAGTACCTATTCTCAGGATATTAGGCTTAATCAGGCATCATATACCACACAAGGCTCAAATAGACTATATTCGGCACCAGTTTACTCAGGATAGTATAGCAGGATAGGATTAGGTATGTTTTTTTCCGTAGAATGCTCTTAAGAGAATGGAAGCAGTTTCTGGTACCTGAGGTGACTATTCAGGTGTGAGGGGATGAGATCATATCAGTAGGTAGGGGATCCAGTCTGGCGTAGAAGCCCTGTGGATGGCCATGGCTTCTACAGATCCTAGAAAGGTCATGCTCACTTTTAGGAGTCACATGCTCAGGAAAGCCCAAAGCAATTGCTTGCCACCATTGCTGACCCTCCTATTCCAGGTGTGGTTACCAACCAGGTGTAATTTGTTTTTTTATTTTTTTGAGTCAGAGTTTCACTCTTGTTGCCCAGGCTGGAGTGCAGTGGTGCGATCTCGGCTCACTGCAACCGCCGCCTCCCCGGCGCAAGCAATTCTTCTTCCTCAGCCTCCTGAGTAGCTGGAATCATAGGCACGTGCTGCCACACCCAGCTAATTTTGTATTTTTAGTAGAGACAGTGTTTCTCTATTGTTGGTCAGGTTGGTCTCGAATTCCCAGCCTCAGGTGATTCGCACATCTTGGCCTTCCAAAGTGCTGAGATTACAATTGTGAGCCACTGCGCCAGGCCCCAGGTATCATTTTTGACAAAAGTAATGTTGCTTGTTTTGTAAGATAGCTGACATATTTAAAGTTTCTAGGGAAATAGCTAGAATGTTAATTTAGAGTTAATTTCTCATGTAGAAGGACAGAGTTTTAGAGAAAATTATGAATTAGAATTTATTTAATTTTTAATTTTTTTTTGAGACAAAGTCTGCCCCTGTTGCTTAGGCTGGAGTGCAGTGGTGTGATCTTGCCTCACTGCAACCTCCGTCTCCTGGGTTCAAGTGACTTTCATGCCTCAGCCTCCTGAGTAGGTGGGATTACAGATGTGTATCACCATGCTTGGATAATTTTTGTATTTTTTGTAGAGATGGGGTTTCGCCATGTTGGCCAGACTGGTCTTGAACACCTGGCCTGAAACAATCTGCTCACTTCAGCCTCCCAAAGTCCTGGGATTACAGGCATGAGCCACTGTGCCTGGCCCTAGAATTTCTCTAAATATTGAGAAAAGAGCAAAAAATAATTTTATTCATTGTAAGATAAGCAGTTTTTTCTGGTCGTTTTTTTTTTTTTTTTTTTTTTTTTTGAGACAGAGAGTCTCACTCCGTCACCAGGCGCCAGGCTGGAGTGCCGTGGAGCAACCTCAGCTCACTGCAACCTCTGCCTCCCGGGTTTAAGCAATTCTCCTGCCTCAACCTCCCGAGTAGCTGGGACTATAGGCTTGCGCCACCATGCCCAGCTTTTTTTTGTATTTTTAGAAGAGACGGGGTTTCACCATGTTGGCCAGGATGGTCTCGATCTCTTGACCTTGTGATCTGCCTGCCTCGGCCTCCCAAAGTGCTGGGATTACAGGTGTGAGCCACTTGCCGTTGTTTTTTTTTTTTTTTTTTTTTTTTTTTTTTTTTTTTTTGAGATGGAGTCTCGCTCTGTCGCTCAGGCTGGGGTGTAGTGGTGTGATCTCAGCTCACTGCAACCTCCACCTCCCAGGTTCAAGCGATCTCCTGCCTCAGCCTCCCTAATAGCTGGGACTACAGGGGGGTGCCACCACGCCAGGCTAATTTTTTTGTATATTTTAAGGAGAAACAAGGTTTCACCATGTTGGCCAGGCTGGTCTCAAACTCCTGACTTCAAGTGATCTGCCTACTTTGGCCTCCCAAAGTGCTGGGGTTGCAGGCATGAGCCACTGTGCCTGGCGTTTTTCTGGCATTTTACTATCTTTAAAATTTGTATTTAAGCCAGGTGCAGTCGTCTCTACTAAAAAAACAAAAATTATCCGGGCATGGTGGCAGGCGCCTGCCGAGGCAGGAGAATTGCCTGAACCCGGGCATCAGAGGTTGCAGTGAGCTGAGATGCGCCACTGCACTCTAGCTGGGGCGGGTCATAGAGTGAGACTGTCTCAAAAAAAGAAAGATCTAATGAGATATAGTTACAGATACTTATGTACTCATCATCTAGATTGAACATTTGCTATCATTTACTCTATTGCTTCAGAATACTGTTTCTAATTTTAGATAATGTAACCAAGCTTTGTAGTTAGAAACTCTGTCCGAACCCCTTCCCCTTTTAGTAAGGTTTTTAAAAAAAATTCTTTGAGTATTAAAGTTGGATCATTGGTTCTTTTCTTGCCTGACTTAATTTATTGAAATGAAATCTGATGTTTTTTCACTTACAGCTTTGTGGATTATGGCAGCCAAATGGGAAATGGAAGATCGATTGTCTTCAGAAAGTGCAAGGCAACTATTTCTTCGGGCACTGCGCTTTCATCCAGAGTGCCCAAAACTTTATCAAGAAGTGAGTGTGTCTGCACATAGGATGAGTCATGTCTCAGTGTGGTCCTCTGGAGACATACATTCTTTTTTTTTTTCCCCAGGTTCAAGAAATTCTCATGCCTCAGCCTCCCAGGTAGCTGGGATTATAGACACCTGCTACCACACCTGGCTGTTTTTTTTGTGTTCTAGTAGAAACAGGGCTTTACCATGTTGGCCAGGCTGGTCTTGTATATCTTCTTTTTTTTTTTGGTGACAGAATTGTGCTTTTGTTGCCTAGAACCTCTGCCTCCCAGGTTCAAGTGATTCTCCTGCCTCAGCCTCCTGAGTAGCTGGGATTACAGGCATGCACCACCACTCCTGGCTAATTTTTTTTGTATTTTTAGTAAGATGGGGTTTTTCCATATTGGTCAGGCTGGTCTCGAACTCCTGACTGCAAGTGATCCGCCTACCTCAGCCTCCCAAAGTGCCAGGATTACAGGCATGAGCCACTGTACCTGGTCATATATTCTTTATTAAATAAAAAAAGGCAGGGCCAGCCACGATGGCTTATGCCTGTAATCCCAGCACTTTAGGAGGCTGAGCTTGGTAGATCATGAGGTCAGGAGTTCGAGACCAGCCTAGCCAATGTGGTGAAACCCCATTTCTACTTAAAATACAAAAATTAGCCGGGTGTGGTGGTGCATGCCTGTAATTCTAGCTACTCAAGAGGCTGAGGCAGGAGAATTGCTTGAACCCAGGATGTGGAGGTTGAGACGGAGTTTCTCTCTTGTAGCTGGAATTACAGGTATGTGCCACCACGTGCTGCTAATTTTTTTTTTTAATTTTTGTATTTTTAGCACAGTCAAGATTTCACCATGTTGAACAGGCTGGTCTCAAACTCCTGACCTCAAGAGATCTGCCTGCCTCTGCCTCCCAAGATGTTAGGATTACAGGCATGAGCCACCGAACCTGGCCTGCTATTTAATTCTTTAATTCTTTTTTTTTTTTCCCACCCCCCAACCCTGCCCTGTTATTAAGTTCTTAAATGAAAATTAAGGTTGGGAGCATTGACTCATGCCTTTAATCCCAGCATGTTCAGAGGCTGAGGCAGGAGGATCACTTGAGGTCAGTTGTTTGAGACCAGGCTAAGCGACATAGCATGCTTCTTTCTCTATAAAAAATAAAACTAAAAAAAAATTATCTGAGTGTAATGGCATGCAACTCTAATCCTAGCTACTCAGGAGGCTGAGGGCAAGGGGATCACTTGAGCCCAGGAATTTGTGGCCGAAATGAGCTGTGATCACCACTGCACTCCAGCCTGGGTGACTGAGGAAGACCCTGTCTCAACAGAATTCAAAAAAGGATCTCCAAAGATTTTCAGTTTATTTCCCTCCTGTAGTACTTTAGGATGGAACTGATGCATGCTGAAAAACTGAGGAAGGAAAAGGAAGAATTTGAAAAAGCCAGCATGGACATGGTAAGGTCCTAATTATTTTATTCTTACTTGCTAACAATGTATAGCATTTTGAGTCTGCTTAGGAGTAAGAGAAAATGTTTGGAATATACTTTTTCTTTTTCTTTTTTTTTTTTTTTT